CACGCATAAACGACGTAGGATGAATACTCGGCGTGCTGTATTACGTAATCAGATCGAGCGCCCGATGCAGTCAAGGCTACGCGTCGTTTGCTAAACCTAATAATTTTATAAAATTGTGGGGTAAGCGTATCAAACGGTTGCTATCACGCCGTTTCAATTATTTAATAAGCTTTAAATTTAACCAAATACGAGCGCTATTAAATGAATAATTCTGTTTGCGAGTAACAAATCAAAATTTTAATTTAAACGAACACTATTTAAGTCTATTCCATAAGTTAGAGTGCGTTATCTAAACAATTAATTTAATAATTCGACCAGAAAATGGTTGGATAACCACTAAACACCAATCCAGATCCTGCCGAAGTGACCATAAAATGGTGGAGCCACGTGTTTAAGGCTGCCGAAAATCTAGTTCCCCGGTCAAACCTCAAACCTATTACGCGAGATATTAACTAAAGTGGACTGTATATGCGATTGCTTCTATGCTTATGTGAAGCGACTACTATAGCATGCGGTACAATGCACTCGCTCTTCCCTAAACTAAACTATTACTTGTCGAATCGATGAAAGGAATCCTGCTTGACTAGGAAAAAAACACAAATTGGAGCGGGTTAAATTATTAGCAAGCAGGTATAATTAAGGAGTATTGACTCACCGAGGTTTCTTCTTCCTGTCGATCACTATAGCGGCGACTTCCGGAACCTCCTCTGGACAGAGGCGGTGCGCGACGATATCTCACACGAGGTGAGGCGGGTTCCTGGAGCTCGACTGCTTCCAGGCCAAAGCGGTTTCCACTAGTGAGGTGTTTCCAAACGAGCGCGCGGGAAGAGGAGGTTGTAGTTCAACGACGACTGCGGCGGGAGAAGAGAGCGCGCGTCGGTCGCGCGTGTCTTATATATCCTCGGGTCCGATGATTACGCGATGTTCTAGAATCGTCTTCTTTCCCCTCCCACCCCACCACCCCGATGTGTCGATAGGAGGGTACGAATGATATTGTTTCGGAAGGGAATAATGATTCGACAAATTCCTACCGTCAAAAATAAAAAACGCGAATGGTTTTCCGCGCAACCAAACTGTACTCATAATCATTGGCTCATCTTCAACTACATCAACTTTATCTATACCAGTACGAGTATTATAAGTAGAATATTTTGTGTGTTCTATTAAACATCTATAAGATCAGTAAATAAAGATGATTTATCGGGTTTTTATTTACAGTTTTTAATTAGAATTCCAACCATAGTCAAAATATATGCAAGAATTAAAATTGTTAGTATTGTGATTGTGTAACTATGGTGCTAAATAAGTGCTGGTTAGATTCACTTCAAACCTACGTTAAACACAACTTCATTTTATAAATTAATAAATAAGATATGGAAATAAAAAAACATTTGTTTTTAATCTTTACTGATACATTTAAACACCACAGTGAAACCAAACTTCAAACGTAAAAACAAAGCCTACCACGAGTCCCATCAGTGTTACACATTACATATCATTTTTATACGCAGCTTCGTAAATAATAGAGCCACGCTGTTCGGGAATGGACCAAACTGTCACAGAATACCTGCGTGAAATAACTGGTTCATTCCACTGTGTTTCGCACGGAGAGTGCAGAAACTGGAAAACCTTTTAACTGGATATGAGGCATTCTACCTTGGTCCTCAGGGGTGACATGGAATGTGCATTTTGATTCTTGATCGAGGATAAATTAATAGGTATTACTGATCCACTACATCATCAACAACATCCACTTACCAGGTGGTTTGTGTGCTCGCTTGTCACCAATATTCGAGGCGGGGTGCTCGTTTTGTTTGATAAATACACGCTCTTGAACAAAAATACACAGCTATGAACGCATTGGGGCATCGCGGCATATACTTATTTTCTGCCTAAAATAAACCCAAAACTAAGAGGAGGCTTGTACCATGCCGTAATACGTATATAAAGTGTGTATGTAAGTTCATTTTACTTTCGAATACACGAGACAAGACGAGGCGCGTTATTTCACTTATGCATATTTATGGCATCTCATATGGCATGGTCTTTAACAGAACAAAATATCCAAATGTTATTTAGAAATTCAACTAGACATTTATTGTAGTAATTTGACATAAAATGTTTGTGTTCCGGACCTTATTCGCTCTACGTATTAATACTACGTACAAATTCCTCTCAAATATACACGATTTTTCTTTTTAGGGATGCTATTGTTGTTTCTAGGCCATAAGAGGAATAATTTTGCTCATGTGGAGTAATAAACAACAGGTCGTAATCCATTTTTATCGAATCTTTGACTAACTCTTATTGTAAATCTACACAGCCTGAAAATGACAAGCTTGTCGTTGTCCAGACGGATTCACAACTCAGCTCAAGTGCAATTTCTTAACTTGGTAAGTTCGAATGTAAAATATTTAATATATTTGTTAAAAAGGACCATCAAACGCGATCTAATTCAGATTGATTTAGACTATCACCAAGATTCAGATCAAAAAGTCGTATAAGTCGTAAAAGTCGTAGGGAAAGCGATAAGTTGATTTCTAAAACCATACCGCAGCCTCACTAACAAAGTTATAAATTGTATTCCTCTGTGTCCCCAAACCTAGCACGCTTAGCTAATATTATTTATAATCAGATGGCAATGTCAGACTCGACGACTTCCAACCTCCCGAACAAGCCGGTTTCCGAAAAGGTTCCAGTACCATAGACCACATACATCCCTACGGCAGATTGTACAGAAGACCGAAGAGTACAATCTGTCACTTTGCCTGGCGTATGTGGACTATGAGAAAGCCTTTGATTCCGTCGAAATTTGGGCGGTGCTACAGTCTCTTCAGCGGTGCCAAGTTGACTGTCGGTATATCGAAGTGGTAAAGTGTTTGTACAGTTGGGCTACGATGGCTATCCGAGTACAGAATCAGAGATCGAAACCTATCCAACTGCAGAGAGGTGTAAGACAGGGTGATGTTATATCCCCGAAACTCTTCACCGCTGCATTGGAAGACGTTTTCAAGCTACTGGACTGGAAAGGATACGGTATTAACATCAATGGCGAGTACATCATTCACCTTCGATTTGCCGACGATATAGTCCTTATGGCAGAATCGCTGGAGGACCTTAGCACTATGCTCAATGACCTCAATGGTGTCTCCCAACGGATAGGTCTTAAGATGAACATGGACAAAACAAAGATCATGTTTAATGTCCATGTCTCACTTATGCCGGTAGTTGTTGGGAACACTATGCTCGAAGTTGTTGACGAGTACGTTTACCTGCGACAAATAGTCCGACTAGGTAAGTCCAACTTCGACCGAGGGTCAATCGACGGATTCAACTCGGCTGGGCAGCGTTCGGGAAATTACGACACATCTTCTCGTCAGGTGTGTGTCAGTGATGACTTACGGATCAGAGACGTGGTCCTTCACTGCTGGCCGTATGAGGACGCTCAAGGTCGCTCAGCGAGCTATGGAGAGGGCTATGCTCGGAGTTTCTCTGCGTGATAGACTCAGAAATGAGGATATCCGTAGTAAAACCAGAGTGACCGACATAGCCCAACGGATTAGTAAGCTGAAGTGGCAATGGGCCGGCCATATTGCTCGAAGAACCGATAACTGATGGGGAAGAAAGGTCCTCGAGTGGCAGACTCGTACCGGTAGGCGTAGTGTAGGGCGACCCCCACTAGATGGAGTGACGACCTGATAAGACATGCAGGAAGTCGATGGATGCAGGTGGCTCAGGAATGTGCTTTGTGGCATTACTTGGGGAGGCCTATGTTCAGCAGTGGACTTGTGAAGGGCTGTAATGATGACGATAATGATGAGGCAATGCGGAAATAATTTAGATTGCCACTTTGACTAGAACAGAATACAGGTGGCAATCCTTCGTACCACACCTTTTAACTTCGGGAGAGCAAAGTGTATAGTTTGTCGATCGCTTCACCAACCATAAGTAATTGGTTGCTCCTTTCTAGCTGGGCCATAATCCGGTTGAACATATCCTATCTGAATCTGAAGCCGTTAAATATTTAAATGCATGCATTAAAAGCTTAAAACTTTTGTCAGAATTAGACATTGCGTACTCATGAACGCTGAAGTTACCTTGCATTCCGGTTCTGGAGCAGGTATTACTAGGCGATTTGCTTCGTCGAGGGCTGTCAGGATAACAGTTGAACTGACCATCCATTAGATCACACGACGAGTTGCGCGGAGAACCAACTCTGATTTTGGGTGGATGAGCGATTACCACGCTCGTGGTGATCGCTGCGCTGACGTTGTGCTACAGTGACGGTGTAGCGACTGACTGCAGTACAGCTGCTAACTAGCTTTATTCGCTTATTAAGCGATGGCAGTCGTATGTTGGATAGGTTGGAGTCAGGGCTGGTGTCAAGGCTGCGCCCGTTTCTAAGGCCACAACTGCGGCCGCGGCTTCGTCTTTAATCGGGACTGAACGTAACTGTCGTTGCGAACACGCTTCCGCAGTCAAAGTCGACCTCGAAAGCGTTTTAGATCCTCGTTTTGTTATAAGTAAGAAGAGTTTAACCCTTCCTTACTATTGTTTTTCTTCATCTCGAAACTGAAACAGAAATAATAACCCACGAGAGAAGTTGATCTGCTTTATTCGAGACGGATAAACTACTATGTACGTGTGCAATAACGCCATGTAATATACCAATGACGTCAAAAAGAAAATGCAATGTATTTAAAATAGAAATAAAGACAAAAGGAGAATACAAATAGACCACAACAATACATAAAATACTAAAAACCATTTCAATATGTTATATAGCTATTAGCATTTATTTATTTATATTTGAAGTAGGAACCCTGCACATTCTTCGTATTGACTACCACCGTACTTCATGTAGTACATAGAAATTTAAAAATTCAACCAAAAATGTTTGAAATGGCAACCCTTTTTTGATGTTGCAATGCCATCTGTTAGTTCTTTTTGAGTAACTTTCGTCCATATTGCACTCCGTCACATCTGTCATTTCATTAAAAATGGCGTCCAAAGCAAGTGAAGTAGGAGCGCGCTCGCACAGACGTAAGTTTAGCCATGTTAATCTCTAATGTGTGTTTGATATTATGCACTATTTTTGTATATTTTACCTAAAATAAGATTATTTGTTTGATTTGTACCTACATTTATGGGAAACTTGCAAAATTCAGTACACTATAACCTCAAACATTTTTATGTCCTCTGCAAAGTACAAGGGTCGCAAATCAAAGTTTTGCATTACTATCTACCCACGTACTGTACAAAGTACATTGCAAAACTTTTAAGATTATTTATGAGTTTTCACTTTTATTTCAGCCATGAATGATGAAAATATCGCTGACGCACTAAATGAATCTGAATTCGACTATTCGGGCGATGATTCAGATTGTGATCTGACCTTCAAACCTCCGGAACTCGACTGTCATGTTGTTGTAATTGGTGCTAATAATTCCGATACGGACATTACAGACTCGGATGATTCAGATAACGCTACTGAATCAGATTACCCTGCACCTTCACCTACGTTATCTACTAACTCCAGGGCTCCAAGGTCACGAGGAAGAGCACAAAGCAGACGACCAAGCAGAGGTCGTTCACGACAAATCATCGTGTAATCACACTTCGCGGAAACTCTGAAAATGACAGTGAGTCACTAGATTGATGGTCAGCAGATGCGTTTGAGCCAGAAGCCAAAAGTTTAATGCAGCCAGCTTACCTGGTCGTAGATTCCACTGATTGGGAGTGGCAATCATTCTACGAACAATATATTACTGACGACATCCTGACTACCATTACTGATTGCACAAATAGGACCAACATATTGTATAAAGGAAAAACACTGGGACTAACAATAAAAGAACTAAAAGTTTTCCTTGGAATAACGATGGTTATGTCTGCCCTCCAATATCCCTAAATCAATATGTACTAAGCTGATTGAAGATAATGACACGGAGAGTGACAGCGAGAGTAATCCAGACCAACTGAAAGAGTTGGAACCAAAACATAAGAAGCGCGAAGTTATGATCAAATCAGTTCCATCCAAGGAAAGATGAAGCCTGATTATGGACCAAAGCATTCAAGATGCAGAAATAAATCTTGCGACAAAAAGACCACAGTCTTCTGCAAAAGATGTGAATTATACCTATGTTTCGTGCCTAACAGAAACTGTTTTGCAAGTTTTCATGAGATAGTTGAGGAATGATTTCTAATTTTGTTTAATTTTATTATTGTTGATTTTTAGAAGCTTTGTTTTTTTCTCTTAAGATCTCTTATTATGAGGCTGATTATTCAATTATTAAGATAAGTATAAACTTTAAGTTGTTAACATTGATCTCTCAAATATAGTGTTAGTTGAAAACATATTAAGAGTAAGAATACTATTTTTTTATCTCCTTTTTAAGGGAGTAAATGAACAAGACGTTAAGTTTTTGAAAGATTTATTAACAATTGTGCTTCAACATTTTTTTACGTTTTATTTTTTAAATTCATACGCAATGTTACGAAAGTCTAGCTGGTTTAAATCAGATGTAACGCTTATGTCCTACTAGAAGTACGTCTAAATTAGCTACAATTGTACTTTATAAAGAACATAAGGAAAAGCTAGATTTTCCGGACATGGATTTTTTCACTATATTTCCCTAAATACTTATGCTTTAAATAATAACCCATAGAAGTTTCATGAAAATACTTAAACTTTAGGCTTCCTAGTCGTCAGGAGGATAAGCATACTTTGCGCACGTGTGAGATTCGGCGTAAATAAAACTAATAAGTACTCAGAAGGAATGCATATTTAAGCAGAAAACTTTATTCTGTACAATAATGTGCTTTTGAAAGCGTAAAACAGGTTGCTGAATATATAGACTCGAAATTTGTAGGATTCGAATTCGAAATTTGAACACTAGTATTTATGAATATAAATTCGTATCATACGTAAAAAAATTACTTACATGAACATAATACTCGCATGACTAGCCACTCGAATATCAGGGTCATTTTGGCCAATATGGCGCATCTGTCGAGCACTTTCTGAAGTACTAAGTTGGTATATAACAAGTATACTAAGTATATATATATATATATATATATATATATATATATATATATATATATATATATACATACTAAAGTAAGTATATTAAAATCATATATCAATGGAAACATTATTAAATAAGCTATCAGATTATGCATAACAGATATATATATGTTATATATATGTATGTTATATATATCATATATATGTTACAAATAGTTTGCTATCGCTCGACGCCATATTATGGCGTTTGACAGATGCGCATATTGACAGACGAGGGGCTTAAATCTAGTCGCACACATTAAGTAGTTTTAAACAAAATAACACCTACGGTGTTTTCAAAATCATCATCATATGCTTGGTATATATCAATATTTGTATAAATTATATCAAACGACAGTGAATATATTAACAATTAAATATTAATTCTATTTTCAATATACAGATAAAAAAATTGTGTTAGTATTTAGTAAGTTAATGATTACCTACTGCAATACCCTGTCGGTAATGTATAATAATATTTTTGCTTACCCTTGAGTTGTCAATAGGAATACTAATAACGCTGGTAAGCAATATATCCTGAGCTTATGTTAGTATTACTTTTTTTCTCAGAGAAATGAAAAAAATCATAAAATTTTGTCAACAATATTTCAAAGAGAGTACTATTACATATCTGAAGTTCATATCCCACTTCTGAATTGTTAACTAAAGTTACTTAATACGTTAGTAATATCATGTATTTTATTATCTGCATAATATAATATCACAAATCGAAACAAGGTTATAGACATTCATAATAATAACAATGTAGATTTTAGACACACAGAATAACAAGGTATGACACTTATTATTATTTACTCACAATTCATCTTCCGTGTACGTATTCTCTACGCAACAGTTTTTGGAAGGCTCCCCCTCAAGCTTTTTTTTGCGCCCGAAGCAAATATGAGAAACCCTCCGGAAAGTGGGGGAGGGAGGCGGTGAATGCTCATAGCATACCACGCAGCCGGCTGCGTGGTTATGTGGAGACTTTTACCCACTAAACACCGCCTTTATTGATTGGCTTACCGATCTGAGGAGAGATCTCTAAGCCGTCTACGAACGCGACCCTCCTTGGCAGAAAGGAGGGCGCAGGTAGAAAGGAGGGCGCAGCTTCCTCAAGCCGACGACATCTGTCATTTATAGGCTTGTAATTTAACAGTGCTAAACTAAAGATGGCGTTGCTTGTGTGGTTTCCGTTACAAGTCTTTAATAAAATTGGATATTAAGCCGTAAGTTTTTACATTACAAAACATTATTTATATTTTTTTATAATTATCTTAAACGGTTTTACATTCTAGTTATAAATACAAGCAAAAATAAATAACTAGACATAATCTAATACATTAATTTACCCGCAGACTTATAGTATGAAAATAATTAATTACCCACAATGTTAGTTACAACAATATAAATTAATAATGTATGCTAACACAATCATATTAAATTAGCTCTACCACGTGAAATACATATAATTTTACGGATTTATCGCGTTTAATTTTAATTTTTAATTCAGACGTTTCGGGCAGTTTCTAGTACCCATGACACGGTGGGATTGGAGTGTCTGACGTTCTGATATCATTGTTAAGGAGGGCGATCTTCAACTTTAAGTACTGATTTAATCTATATCGAAAAATAATGATTATATTCTATTGTATACTATAGTGTTAAAGTTCACTAGAATATTATCCCTGCTTAAAAAAATTAATCTAAGAAATAAAATACGAATTCGACTACAGCATACAAATAGAAATAAATACGAACAAATTCGAATACAAACTGAGCTAATTTAGACCCTTACAAAATTCACAATCGGAAGGTCTTTCATCAAATCGAAACACAGTTCCTAATCAATTAAGTACTGTCGACCAATACGAGATTAAATATTCATTGTCCCACAGTTTCTGCAAGAATAAAGTCTGTATCTATTGTTTTCGAATTCAAAGTTTCGTTGTGAATAAAATGGTTGTCTATTGAAAATTATCATACAAATAATGATAACTTAATAAATTTAAGAGCACGTGAAACTTTTAAGCATCTTTCTCTACTTTAGTACGGTCACCATAATAGATAAAAAGTCACTTTACTTATTTTATTAATGAATCAGTTGTAAAAGTTAAAATTAATTTGAAAAATTACAGTTTTTCACAAGTAGTCTCGTAATATGTAATAGAATGGAAATAGGATATGAATTACTTTATTCTTTTCTATTCTAGTCTGTTATAGTTTCTGTTTTATAAAGAATACCATTAACGCTTTTATCGTTACCAATACTCTCGTTAACATCGAACTAAGTAAGATTCAAAATGATTGTAATATAATTGGTTCACAAAAGAAGTCGAAAAAATTGATTTTTTTATAAAAGCATGGACAAATGATTTCAACTTATGGTAAGTATCGAACGCCGCCCATTAACAACTACAACACTATATGAATTGTAAGTCGACCTTTTAAGAAGAAGAAACTTCATTTCTTTAAGGTCTCTAATGTATATGTGTGTAATTTAATAATAAATAAGTTTTATCTTGGGTGAATGCTACCAATCCCGTGGTTCAGTTTCTCTCTATCGCTTATTACGAAACCCATGCAACTGTGGGTTTCCTGTAGATGGATTTCATGGATATAGGGTAGTGGATATTCTTACATTGCCACTATGTGAATAAAAGGTAAATTATATAAATTACTTTCAACATATAAAGAAATATTCCCTTAGAATACAATTCAGTAGATCTTTCGTCGTGCTTTTATATCTCATGTGCCTATTCCCACGATGTCTGAAAAAGAAACGTCGAAGTCACTGTTAAGCTCATAATGGCATCCATTCAGATGTAGAAATTACTTTGCCCCGAACAACTTTCATGATTCAGTTTCAGCTTTAAACGATTATTCCGTTTTACAGAACAATACACAAAGAAGCTTTATCACGAAGTGTGAACTATATTCATGAGTGTAATAAAATAATGAGGTTGCCAATCCACCTGCCAAGCGTGCCAGCTTTTGTGAAAACCCCTACGACGCTTATAGCAGGCCTACTTTGAGCAGTGGACTTTTGATAGTCTATAATGAATGAATAAAGGAATCGTGTAGTTGTTTTAGGAGGAGTTGCAATTCGTGACGAAAAATGTCGTTATTAACTCATATCGAAAGCCACAGCTAAACTTAACTTCCAGGCTGTGACCTGTAGCGAAAATTTTTACCAATAACTTAATGTCTTATGGTTGACGGTGCCTAAATGTGAGCATGATGTTGATGAAGTTTTCGACTGCTTGATGTGCATTTTAGTCTAGTATAAACTTGTACTATCACACGAATTCATTTTTCCTTCATTTAGATCACATATCACTATGTGTACGTGTACGTACTCCTCATATTTTATATTTCCTCTACTTTACCCAATGCCTTCCTTTTCTATAGCATCTTTTGCATTAATTACAAATTACATGTAAAGACTGTTATGAGTTCGATGACCGACGCATTAAAATGAGGACTAGTTTAAGTTACGAAAAAATATTTTAAAGCTGGGTATTTCACTAAAATGGCTTGTGC